CCCCCCCACCACCCCGAGAGTTTATTTTAATACAATTTCTGACACGCAGCCTCAAAGGTAAAACATGAAGAGAAGCATCCCAAAGACAAAAGTCACTTTGTTCATCCTACATAGCAGAGTATCTTAACTGCAGAGATTCTAATGTGTCGGTCCTGGGTGGGTCCTAGGAGTCAGTATGTAAAAGCTCCCCAAGTGTTTCCAATGTGCAGGCTGAGTGGAGAAGTCCTGAGGTAAAAAATTGGAGAATGTTTTCAAAACCAAACTGTGCATCAGAATCACCCGGGACTGTGCCTCTTGAATTTTAATGTGCACACCAATCACCAGGCAATCACGGTTAAATGCAAGTTCCGATTCGGTAGGTCTGGGCTGGAGTCAAGGCTCTGGTATGACCTAGGCAATTCCTTTTCCTCTGTAGGTCTCATTTTCCTCATCAAGAAAAGGATGGAGTTCACCTCTTCGGCTCTTCCAGCTCTCATATTTGAGGAAACCCTCAGGGCAGTCCGGGGGAACCGAGGGCGGACTGAGCCTGAGAACTACAATCCCCACAATGCCCTGCGCGTCTCCGCCCTCAGTGCCGTGGTGGAGAAGGGTTGCTAGTGGAACGCTCCCCACAATCCTTCGCGGTGGCCCAAGATGGCCGCGCCCAGTGGCCCCCTGAGCTCTTTGGAGAGCAGCAGCAGCAGCAGCGATGAGGAGGAGCTGGCACGGTGCCGCGAGGCAGCGATGCCGGCCTGGGGCTTGGAGCATCGCTCGAGGGGGCCGGAGAAGCCAAGAGCCGGTAGGAGGCTATGTGCAGGGAGTCTGGCCGAAAGGCGTGGGATCTTCTCCTGGGGTCTGAGAGGATGGGTGGTGAGGAGGGGGTGACCGGCACGCGACTTCTTTCCCTGAGAAAGCTCCGGGGATTGCGCGGGACTCAGATTCAGAGAGCGGGCAGGTGCAACAGGGAGGGTACTTCCATTACCCCGGTCGGGGAAACTGAGGCACCTGAATGCCTCTTGACTCTGCTTCCTTCGGTCCTTCCTCACTGCCGCACGCTGGCAGCCCGCCACCTCTCCGAGATGGCTGGGACAGCCCCCCTTCCCGGATGCTGGCATCCAGCCTTTCCCCACCTCCAGCACCTTCTCAGATCCTGGGGCTGTCAGCGAGCTGGGTCCTCCACGTGTCTGACGGTGACAATCTAGTGCTACAGTAGTTTGGGCAGTACCTGTTACTTGGTCCTAACAAAATCACAGATTTCCATATCCCGTTACCGTCTGCATGTATATCAAAGTATCATTTTAGTCACGGTAAAATGTTGGGAAAAAATAATTGACACTCATCCCTGCTTTAAAAATACAGTCGTTTTGGGGGGCGCTCGGGTGGCTCGGTCCGTTGAGTATGGGACTTCCACTCAGGTCATGATCTCGAGTTCCTGAGTTCGAGCCCCGCATCGGGCTTGCTGCTGTCAGTGCAGAGCCCGCTTCGGATCCTCTGTCCCCCTCTCTCTCTGTCCCTCCCCTGCTTGTGCCCTCTCTCCCTCTCTCTCTCTCAAAAATCAATTAATTAATCCATTTAAAAAATTACAGCCATTTTTTGGGCCCACTAGTAGATCGTAATGCATTCATAAAGATTTAATGCATTAATAAAGAAGCACATATATTATTAATGTGCCAAATTTAGGTTTGTTTTTAACTATTTTTT